AGGTCTCTCGGAAGAGCTCGATCAACCTCGAATGATGGGGCACGATAGGTGGACCCGACCCTTTCCCTAACCATATCCATTTCAAATGGTTGAAAACCCTTTCTTTTCAAGCCAAAACTTGGCCAACCAAGTTTTGGAATAAACCCAAAGGACATTTCTCATAATCAGGAAACCTGACAGTGGAACTCTAGAAACAACATGCCCAACCAACGTCGCCCAGGCGCTTTTCTTTCTGCTGTTCGTGCTGGAAGTTAGGATTGAAGAACACGAGATCCGCCGTTCGACCACGACAACGAAGCTGTTGCAGTTCTTGGATTGCTTGATTCTGCTTCCTGAGCTCAGCTGACATAATAAATCTAGGATCAGAATCGAAAGACAAAACCAGTTCAAATGAAGACAACATTGAAAACAAAGCCAGCAAAATTTCAGGCAAATCTAGGCTCATCCAAGTTTCCAATCCGCCTGGGAAGTGATGATCAGCACTTTGCTGTCAGGCGGCAACCTGCCCAGCAAATTGTAGTTGAACCTGCCGGCCAACCACATGTGGTAGTCTCCAAAAGGGATCTTCGACCTGAGTTGAAAGATTCAGACTCAAGACTGCGCCGGAAAAAACGTGAAGAAGTAGCAGAGTAGAAGAAAAAGGAGGAGGAGAAGAAGAGCCGATCATGCGAACCCTTTCCTTTAGCAAAATGAAAAATAGAAGACAATCAAACCAGACCGAGCTGCGAAGCGTTGTCATTCTTATCCCTGATGTCTTCCACGCTGAACTCCTTTCTCTTGTTAGCAGGGAGGCCCTACCTCTAATGAATTGGAGCACACGCTGACAATGTTAAAATTGATTGGAGAACGAAGTTTAAACACATTCTACGACCGATGCTAGAAGAAGTCACGAGTGTGGTTTTGATAGACGTTCTGATTGGTTGGTAGTGCTGGGCTGGAGCCCCACAAAGGCCTAGATTTCTGACAACAAATATTGTGTAAATTATTTTGTCATCAAAAGACCAGTCCTGCTCCACCAAATTGATTACTGCAACCGGTGGAGGCGCCGATGAATCAGCAGCCGATGAAGGAGCAGCTGATGAAGCCGCTGCGCTTGAAGGAGCAGGCGCAGCTGAAGGAGGTCGTGCTTTTGCAGGAGTTTTAGCAGAAAGTGCTTGAAATGGAGGAGTATAGCTGGTGAAGTCCGAGATGCTGGGGTCGAAGGAACAGTAGCTGCTGGGGTCGGAGGAGCTGCAGGTGCCGGAGTTCCATCCTGAAAGGAACGGATGAACCAGTTGCATGATCCAATGACGGTGCCCCTGGACCATCTAGCTTTGAACCGGCAAAACACAGGAAGTCTTAAGTGTAGGTTGGGTTAAGGCAGATTAGAAACTCACAGTTGACCCACTCAAGGTAGAATTGATCCCACAAAGCTTGAAAGGCTGACGAGCCACGACCCTGCCCACTGGAAGAGGCTGTGCTCCAGCTTTCGCCTCCGCTGTCGCCACCACCGGCTCCGTGGTTCATCATTAATCAACTTCATGCGCCGTGAACCTTGGGGTCCGTTTTCCAAGTCTCACATGTCCTTTTTTGAATTACCCAGGCTGTACTTCTAAAGTGGAAAAGCCAGCGGCGAGATCATTGGCTGGATTCTTTTCATGGTGTGGAAGCTTGGTGAAAGATACGGGCTAAAGAATTTTGCTTTTAGTTTACAAAAGATTTTTACTTTCAGTTTCATAAACATTATGAGGGTACTACTCATCACGCACTTAGAGTTTCCCTTCCTCGTGCATCATGCAGGCAAGATGCGTTCCAGTAGCCGGTGGCCTGGCGTCTTTGCAGCCGCTCTTGGTCCTCAGGAGACACGAAGTAGACTGATTGTTTGATGCTATTTGTACGCCAAGCTTGATAGTGGTTTTGCGCTAACAACACCAAATGGCAACGCCTGAAATAATGCTGATAAGTTTCCCGCTTCTTGTGGTACTGGCTCTTCTTCACAAAGCCAGGAGGCGCTCTTTGGTGATCCATGGCCGCGTGGCTTCAAAGAGGATGCGTGACCACCAAAATTTGGGTTGGCAAAACTTGGGAGGACCAAGTTTTGGGTCCCATGTCTTTGTGGAGTTCCAAACCTTGGAGGGGCCAAGTTTTGGGT